TTGGACGAAAGTTCGGGCCTTAGGTCATTGTCCGGCGAAAGTTCGGGGGTCAGGTGGTGGTCAAGCGAAAGTCCGGGCCTCATGTGGTGGTCCGGCGGAAGTCTGGGTGTTAGGTGGTAGTCAGGTATAAGTCTGGGCCTCAGATGGTGGTCGAGCAAAAGTTCAGGTCTCAGGTGGTGGTCCGACAGAAGTCGGGGCCTCAAGTGGTGGTCAGACAGAAGTCCGGGCCTCAGGTGGTAGTCCGACAGAAGTCAAGGCCTCAAGTGATGGCCCGCTGGAACTAAGGCGGTGGTCGATGAGGCAAGAGCGATCTCCGATCTCTCTCTTGCTTTCTTGCTTCGAGCCCCTTTTTAAGAGGAGGTGGGGTCTATTTATAGATTTCCTAGAGTGGCATGACCCGTAAATAGGAGGATGATCAAGGGAAAATGGGGAGTGGTTTGCATGGATAGTCGATGTTGAATCCCTTTATATTGGACAGTTCGTTAGATATTTGAAGGTCTTAATGATGTTGGAATTCTGCGATCTTAGGCTCGTTAGATTTGTCTCATCAAGCCGCTCGATTCGACTATAAGCATGTCACGTTTGAAAACCGTTTGTCAATCCAAATTGTGATTTGAACCTTCCAACAGCGCTTCGGATCCTCGATTCGGACCCATTTGGGCTCTGATTGAGTCAATTTTGATGTGTTGGGTTCGTATTTCCAAGACGTTCAGTTGATTATAAGTTTGCTGAAATTGGAGATCGGATGGTCCCAATTTTAATTTTGAAAGTTTTCAACTTGATTTTTGCCTCGAGATTCGTGCCTGATCCAGATAAATTTTTGATCATGTATCAATTATATTGCATTATAAAAAATAAAAGTTGATTTTAATTTTTATCTTAAAGAAAAAATGCAAATAGTGGGCTCAATATCCTCGCTGTATCCACAAAGCACAAATAACGCGTCTTCCCCACCTCGTCAATTGCCCCTAGTTGGCGACTACTCGTCTTCCCGTCATCGTCGTTTCTCCAGCATCCATCCATCTTCAACGTTTCTTACTTCGCTCCAGTTACAATCCCTAGCCCTTTCGAACCTAACCCCACATCATAATTCTGTAACATGGCCGATCGTCCAAACCCTAGACATCTTCAACGCAACATCATCATCCAGTTACTCGCCCTTTTCTTCCGCTCCTCCGCTCTATTCTCTCCTCCTGACAACCACCTCATCTCCTGCGGATCCATCTCCCCAATCACGCTCCACGACCATCGCATCTTCCTCCCCGACGCCACTTACCTCATTTCCAGTAATCCAAAAATCTCCATCTCCGCCGATGCTAATACCTTTTTACAATCCAACTCATACGCCTCTGTTTACCAATCAGCTAGGATTTTTACCGCTCCTTCTTCTTACGAGTTCGACATCAGAAGCAAGGGCATACATATCATCCGCCTTCATTTTTACCCCTTCTCCTCCGGTAGCCACAACCTCGCCTCCGCTCGGTTCCACGTATTGGCCTCCGGCTTCGTTCTGCTCAGCAATTTCACCGTTTCCTCTGATTATCCGTTGAAGGAGTTCATGTTGAGGGTGGATAGGGAAAAGCTCGTGATCTTCTTCGTGCCTGTGGATTCATCCTCTTTTGCCTTTGTGAACGCCATCGAGGTCATCTCTGCGCCGGTAGACCTTGTAGAAGATAAGGCGAGGCTGGTTCAAACTGATCAAGTTTTGAGCTTTGATGGGTTATCGAAGCAGGTGATGGAAACCCTGTTTCGGATTAATGTTGGTGGTCCGAAGGTGACACCGTTTAATGATACTCTGTGGAGGACATGGGTTCCTGATAATGAATTCTTCCATTCGGATTTTGTTACCAAAATCGTATCTTTTAGTGGTAGGATTATGTATCGGAAGTATAGCGCCAGCCGTGAAGTAGCACCTGATAGTGTGTATAACACTGCAAGGATTATAGATGTTGTTAATTCTTCTGAGGTAAGTTCTAGAATGACATG